AAGTAGACGACCTTTACATCTTAAGTAACTTTATTTGAAATTATCCAAGAGACCCATGGAATTTTTGTGTTTATTCGTTAAAAGATCTGTAAACGGCGCTTTATACAAATCTTGAGCAACTCTTTTACAAGTAAGTCCGGAACTCAACACTTTACAAGAAATAAAACAGACCTAAGAAAAGGAAGCAGCTTCAGGTCACGGGGATAAAATAAGCCTCCCATCGCTGAAGCAAAGGTCTCCTCACAGAGGCACCGGCAGGATTCACCACCGTAATGCCTCCCACCCTCGTTGCATAAACAAGTCCCAGTCACGAATTCTTCCCTCAGGGTTGGAGTGGCACACGGAGAGAGATGTCTGGTAAGAGCCCTACTGGGGTAAGATGCTTAATAGACTTTTTGTTTTGTTTTGTTTTTTTTAAATAAGACATAGGCTCAGTTCCATTTTCTAGAGTCGTAAGAATCACACAGCACCGGTCTTAAATGGGGTATGCTTCAGATTGATTCATGCACACCTGAATGGGTTGTAATGAAAATACTGTACAAGTCAATAAACTGTATCATAATACAACTTGTAAGGTTTTAAGTCTAAATAATTATTTTTATGCCAGTTAAAACCATCAGCAGGAATTGAAGAGAACAAACGGACATCTGCTATGACATTTATCAGTGAAAATTATACCATCACTGATAAGTTCCTCCTTCTAGTCACTAGTATTTTAGATATTAAGGGTTGGGGTGATTATGTGGTTGAGTGCCCAGGAATGTTCGTAGTCTGCGTCCCATTTAATTAGGGCAAAAAGACCAACAATTCTAGGGGAACCTTAAAGAGTCTCACATAGGCACCTATAGTTTGAAGTCCTTATCATCAGAGCTGAAAATTGGCTCTGGTACACTTCAGCTTAAAAGAAAACCTTTTCAATAGTTATAATCCCACAGCTCAAATTTCCATCTGCAGAACTACCCAATTTCCTCTGCGTTTGTGAATGAATAATCCTGGCTTCAGTTTCTGGCTCTGTTGTATGACTTTGGGCAAGTTACTTAACCTCTTTGGAGTCCAGTCGCCTCATTCGTAAAACAGAGGTGCAAGTATTTCAGGTTGACCTAAAGACTGAATAATGGGACATACATGTACCCCATGTTTGGCACCTTGGGGACATTAAGAAAAGGGGGGGGGTAGTTCTCATGCCCTTGAAAGGATATCTTCCTGCTAGCCATAATCCCACAAAGTTAATGTTGACAAGCTACTCAAGTGCCACACAATGTGGAGGAGGAGCTGCAAGGTGTCTACTTGTTTAAGATACTCAATAACAGTGTTAACAAATAAGGGCTTCCACATAAGTGAGATTCCCCCAGACAGAACATTAGACTAAAAGATAAAAACTGGAGATACATGATGTGTATATTCCTTAGCTCAGCTCAAAGAGCCTATCGGTTTAAAACTGCCATGGTATTTCAGTGATGAGAATTATGTGTGCAGGGCCTACTCTGCACTTCTATCATGCTTCCCCAGTACGTTTCTCGCATCATGCTCATCTTTGAGCTGTTTTTTAAAAAATGGAACAACAAATCTTTCCCTAGTAAAAGACAAGTGCCTTCACAGACTAATAGGCACATAACACAAAAAAATGAGCCCAAGAATCAAATAGAAAAGGCCACTGAAAAAAAAATTGGAGGCAGAGTAATGAGAACATTGGTTCTAGACTACTCCCAACAATCCTCTAGTGATTACTACAGCAGCAACAGGAGAATTCTCCTCCAAGAACCTGGCCCACTTTGTAACCATTTCAACTTTCCAGGATTTTGTAGGCTACTTTAGGGCATCCTGACTCTTGGAAAAGTATTTCTTTGGCACTTTCTGTTCTATTTAGGATGGAGACAGTCAATCAAAGGTTTCATTTCTTCTGCAGGAATTTCATTTTACTTCCTAAAGGGAGAAAGAAGTAGAGTGAACTCTCATTAGTTTATTTTTTATTTATTGTACATAATTTGAGGCAAGGGATTAACAACTTAGTCATTCAGAATGGCCCAGGAGTAAGCTGCCATCTCAAGCTGGCATGTGATTTAACTACCAAACAAACAAACCCCAAGTGTCTAATTGTAGAGGTAGAAGAGAACTCAGACATCACCTAATCCAGTGGTTTTCAACCTTGACTATAGTTAAAAATTGGTTGGCCTGATCCCTAGAGATTTCTTGAGCCTGGGGTGGGGAAAATTTTCATTCACATTCCCCAGAGATTAAAATATTGTAGTCAGAGTTCAGCACCACTGATTTGATCTAACCTCATGGTATAAAGATGAAATAACAGCCCAAGGCATAATTTGTCCATGGTCTCTCAGCTAGCTAAGGACAAGGCCTAATTTTAATTAGTGGCATATTTTTCCTTTTGTATTGAAGTATAATTGGCAGACAATGTCCTATTAGATTCAGGTGTACATCATAGTGGTTTGGTATCTTTATACGTTACAAAATGACCCTATGATAAGTCTGGTCACCAGGGGGTACATATTTTAATGACCAATATAAACACCATGGAATATAGGTCCTTCATTGTTTTGGCCTATCACATCACTGTTCTCCAATATCACAAAGGATAATAAAAAGTTAATAATAATTGAAAAATCATAAACATCTGTTTCGTTTTTTAAAAATTTTTAAAAATATTTATTCATTTATTTATGATAGACATAGAAATAGAGAGAGAGGCAGAGACACAGGAGGAGGGAGAAGCAGGCTCCATGCAGGGAGCCCGACGCGGGACTTGATCCCGGGACTCCAGGATTGTGCCCTGGGCCAAAGGCAGGCGTCAAACCGCCGAGCCACCCAGGGATCCCCTGTGTTTCTTTCTGAAGTGTAAAATTAGTCTTGTAGGAGATCCTCTTTTGCCTCGGGTGCCCTCTAAATTAGGTGTTGTTTTTAAGATTTTATTTATTTATTTGACAGAGCTCATGTGCACAAGGAGGGGGAGCAGCAAGCAGAGGAAGAGGGAGAAACAGGGAGCCTGATGCAGAGCTTGATCCCAGGACCCTGGGATCATGACCTGAGGCGAAGGCAAATACTTAACCAGCTGAGCCACCCAGGCGCCCCCTAAACCAGGTGTTTTTAATCTGGAGTCCTTGGATGGGCTCAGGAGAGTCCCTGAATACTCTATAATTATGTGCAAAACTTGCATGTTCTAAGCATACTTTTCTGGGAAAAAGAAAAGTTTTTATGAGATTTTCCCTGTGATGTGACATAGAAAAGATTAATAATTATGATAAGCAAATTCTCATGTCATCCAAGGAAAACAGACCCAAGGACAACTCTGATGGAGAATCCAGACCTCTGAAAAAGACTTCTTTTTCTCCAAAACACTTTGGAACTACAGTCATGGTGTTTTGTCAGTCTGTCTGAGGTTACATTATTGATTTGATTACAAAGCTTTTGTGATGAGGCACACTTTTTGCAAAAGGCTTTTTCGTCACATTATCTATCAAGAAAATACAACAACTCACCAAGACTCCGCAAAATTCTATTCACCCCGCTGGGCTCAGACTCTGGAATTGTTTCCAAATACTGGAGGGCCCGGACCTCAAACAAACCTACAAGGAAAACTCATGTTGGTGAAATTGTCCAATACTTACTAAAAATCACTTAAGTAAAACTCTGTGCTTAATGCCAATGTGCTTCCATAGCTAAAACAAAATTACAGAAAGAAGTATTTTCCATCATAAAACAACTCAGATTTTGAGCCCATGAAGCTTCATAACATTTCAAATATTTTTTTTAATTTTTATTTATTTATGATAGTCACACAGAGAGAGAGAGAGGCAGAGACACAGGCAGAGGGAGAAGCAGGCTCCATGCACCGGAAGCCCGATGTGGGATTCGATCCCGGGTCTCCAGGATCGCGCCCTGGGCCAAAGGCAGGCGCCAAACCGCTGCGCCACCCAGGGATCCCATAACATTTCATACTGAAATCAGTATACCACTGATTTCAAACCTTCCAAGTGCTCACTAAATACTGAGGAAGACCTGATGATAAACTGACCTTTCACCCCAGTTTTCCGAAGCTCTCGGTCCTGGATGAAGCCTGCAAACATCTGCGTTTCCATGAAGAGATCCAGGAAGTGGCGTACACTTCGGGAGGTGTGGGATTTACGGAATGGTTCCCTTTGGAATACACGTTCCCCATGCTCAGTGACAGTCATGCTCAAGGAATAATGTCCCACCAGCTCCACAAAAAACCTCACAAATGCCTCAGATACCAGCGAGTTGAGTGTCACATCTGCTGCAAAATGAAAGAAAAATAAGGAAGAAAGAAAAGAAAAAACCCCAAGCTTTGTGTTTATGGGAAATTGTTATGAAAGTGATGCATAGGAAATGGATTGAAGGACTGAGACTCCTCATTCTTAGCTTCCTTGCACCATCCACAAAAAGCCAATGGCTAGTATTTTTATTTTCTTCCTACACATACTCGTATTACATCTTTCAGCCTGACTTGCACATCCACTCTTTCAAAGGCCACCAGTGAGAGCCAGCCAAATTTATTTATTTCTAAAAAATATTTTATTTATTCATGAGACACACACACACACAGAGGCAGAGACACAAGCAGAGGGAGAAGCAGACTCCCTGAGGGAAGCCTGATACAGGACTCGATCCCAGGACCCTGGGATCATGACCTGAGCCAAAGGCAGATGCTCAACCACTGAGCCACCCAGGTGCCTGAGAGCCAGCCAAATTTAATCCGCTTTTCTATTTGTCTCTCCTTTAAACTCTGTGCTGCATTTGTGCTAACCTACTCCTCATTCCTCTTCTCCCATAATTTTAGACTTTCCTGATTTCTGGATTCCTCTCCTGGTTTTATGACCAAACACATTTGTTCTCTTGCCTCTTCTTCCTCTGCCTAAGGATGGTCCTCAGACCACTTTTCAGCATTCCCATCCTTAAATAGTTAATCAGCAGAGAGATAGAGCTGGCTTTCCATGTTGATAATACGCAACTCTATCTCTCCAGACCTGATGTCACCGGAACTGACCTTCGACATTTTTAGGCTACCTACAGGTAATCATCATTTGCTTGTCCCATCACTGCTTAAATGCCGTCTGTCTAAAAGTCAACTCAGGTCCTTTGGAAATGAGTAAAATATGAATCAAATAAATAAAAAATATACATATGAAACCAAATTCATTCTATTTCTCCACCAAATCCATTCTCTCTCAACTTTCTCATTTCATACTGCAACCATTATTCCATAATAATTTACTAAATGTTTAAGACAGGTCAGGTACTGTATTTAGAGCTTTTAAAAATATAATAATCCAGTGAAGTCAGTATTATTTCTTTTTTACAGCTGAGGAAACAGGCTCAAAACAAAGACATTCTCCAGGGTCAGCTCATCTGGTATAGGGTACAGAAGCTGCCAGACTCCCAAGTCAGTTGATTCTTAACCATTATGATATGAAATACTTTGCCTTTCAGGTTCTAGGATCAAACCTCAGAATCAACTTAGACTCCTCCTTTTTCTTCCACACCTAATAGCTTTTCTTTCCCTCTTCAAATTGTCGCTTGCTCTTTCTATAGGCTCCATACTGGACTGGGAATCAGGGACCTAGGTTTAGTCAGAGTTCTACCATGAAGCAACAGCATAATGGTGGGCAATTCGCTTTACCCCTTGTGACTTCTCTTCCCGTATCTGTATAATGAGGGGGCTGATTAGATGATCTCTAAGGCCTCTTCTGGCATTCCATTTGATATAAACTAGATTTTTGTTATATTTTGCTCAACAGATGTCCTTCTCATCACTTTCCTTCTGCAGCTGAGAATCCACGGTCCATCACTGCTTTTACTGTCAACACTTTCCCCAGCCTCCCAGTTACTGTCCCATTTCTCTCCCACTTTACAGCAAAATTTCTTTTTTTCTTTTTTTTTTAAGATTTTATTTATTCACACACACACACACACACACACACACACACACAAAAAAAAAAAACCAGAGAGAGAGGCAGAGACAGAAGTAGGCTCCCCACAGGGAGCCCAATGTGGGACTCGATCCCAGGAATCCAAGATCATGCCCTGAGCTGAAGGCTGATGCTCAACCACTGAGCCATCCAAATGTCCCTAGAACAAAACTTCTTGGAAGAGTTGTTTATACCTTTTGTACCCTTTCTTAATCTAACTCCCTTTGTTTTTAAAATAATGCTTTTCTAGAACTTATCTTCAATTACTTGGTTCTGTTTTAACGTATATGCCTTACGTATTCTCTTACATGTATAAATATTTCATAAGGTCATCAGTGAAATGAACACACCAGTACTCAACCACAAAGCTTGAAACACAGTATCAGAGCTGCGGTGCTTCGACGGCGTCCAGGACCCGCGCATACTCATGGCCATCAACGGCAAGGTGTTCGATGTGACCAAAGGCCGCAAGTTCTACGGGCCCGAGGGGCCATACGGGGTCTTTGCTGGAAGAGATGCATCCCGGGGCCTTGCCACATTTTGCCTGGATAAGGAAGCACTGAAGGACGAGTACGATGACCTTTCTGACCTCACTCCTGCCCAGCAGGAGACCCTGAGTGACTGGGACTCTCAGTTCACTTTCAAGTATCATCCTGTGGGCAAACTACTGAAGGAGGGGGAGGAGCCCACTGTGTACTCTGATGAGGAAGAAGCAAAAGATGAGAATGCTCGGAAAAATGATTAAAGCACCCAGTGGAAGCATATCTATTTTTGTATTTTGCGAATCATTTGTAACATTCCAGTCTGTCTTTAAAACATGGTGATTTCGATATTTAGAGAAGTTTCAAACTTGCTGTAAGTTTTTGTAATTAACATCACTAGTGACACTGATATAATTAACCTTTGTCTCCAAGTGCATGACGTGTTTGTGTGTCACAGACCCAGACCGTGAACTGCAGTGCCGTAATCCAAATGTTGGCACTCTCTCCTTCTGTCTGTAGTTAGTGCAGGCTGCCTTTAAATTCGTTTTTCCTGAGAGAGGCAGGTAAGACTTGGGTATTTCCCCCAAACAGGTAAAAATGTTAAATGGGAAAAGTCCTTCTAGTCCTGAGAAAAAAGGATCACCTTCTGGTCCTGATGTCCTCAAGAGTGCAAAGCCCTTCTTCCTCAATTAACTTACCTGCATGATTTCTGTTTTATTTACCTCTAAAGCAAATCTGCAATGTTCCAAAGCCTGCCTTGGTATTGACTAAAGAGAGCTGCCCAGGAAAAAAGAAAGAAATCTTAAAGCTGGGCTTGGTTGGGAAAAATACATTCACTGTGTTTCTAGACTGCCTCATTCTTTTTGTCCTCCTCTGGACACTTAGAAGCCCCCACTAACACAGCAATGTATAATAAGGCTCTAAAAACACCATCTGAATGTTCAAAAGAAAGCTTCGGAAGAAATCTACTGGCTTCCCGAGAAACCTAAATATACGAAGAAAATGTAGAACTATTTCCTCAATCCCCATGTTCACAGTGGGACAGTGGTGATTTCACACAGTTTTTGCCGTGAGAGGGATTATGGTGAACAGAAGCAGGCGTTTGCCCTCTGGAGAGCCTACACACACACCGCACAACACACACCCCTGAGGAATGAAGAAAGTACACATTACTAGCCAAATGGTTTTTAAAGTATATTTCTTGAGGTAACAGTTATTCTTCCCTTGTTACAAAACCATAGCCACTGCAAGAGTAGTAGGGCAAGCATCAAGGTCTTTGATATTGGTCTTTTGGTTAACAATAAACTTAGCTTAAGTAGACTGTACAGTTGTATGAATTTGTAAAGGTATTATGTGAACAACTAATGAGGTTTCTAACTCTTGTAACTGTAGTTGAATAGTTCTTGTATTTTCTTGTGAACCGTGTTTAATGGTTTTACCTCAAATCAGAAAACAAAATGAAGTGCTTTGGTCAGTTAATAAAATGGTTTTACCCAGTAAAAAAAAAAAGAAAAAAAAAAAAGAAACACAGTATCAAGGTTATCTCCAAACCTCTCTGAGGTGGTGTTCTCCTACTCTCCAATAGAGGGCGACCATTATCAGCAACTCGTTCCCTAGTTTTATTTATTTATTTATTTATTTATTTATTTATTTATTTATTTATTTATTTTTTCATTCCCTAGTTTTAGGTTACACTTTCACTATATACATAGGCAACCCCAATAACATACTATTAGGTCTTGTACATCTTTCAACACTATGTAACACATATTATTCTGTAATTTGTTTTCTTCAATATATGTTTTACGATGCTTTTTTTAATGTTATGTTCTGTCAGTGTACGGTTAGGTTGTTTTTAATTTTTGCTATCACATTCACTGCTGCTACTTTGAAAACTATTTGCTTATTTCCTAATTATCATGTGGAAGAGTTTCTCTAGGGTATATATCCAAAAGTTGAATTGTCAGGCTGTAGGATATATACACCTTTAAGTTTACTAGATGATGCCTAATTGTTTTTCCGAAGCAGTTGAAGTAATTTGCACATTCTCACCAATGCCTTGTTAGACTTTGTTAGACTTTTTGAGTTTTGCTAATATGGTGGGTATAAAATGGTGTCTCACTGTGGTTTAAATTTACATTTCTCAGATTCTGATGAGGTTGTACACCTCTTCATATATTTATTGGCCTTTCACTTTTCCTCTTCTATGAAATGATTGTTCACATCTTTTCCTCATTTTTCTATTGGGTTCATCTTTTTATTATTCAATTGTATTGTAGGAATTTTTGAAAATAAATTCTGGATACTATTACTTTTTTTTAAAAGTCTTTTTAAAAAGATTATTTATTTTATTCATGAGAGACACAGAAAGAGAGAGGCAGAGACATAGGCAGAGGGAGAAACAAGCTCCATGCAGGTAGCCTGATGGTGGGACTCAGTCCTGGGACTCCAGGATCACACCCTGGGCCAAAGGCAGGCACTCAACCACTGAGCCACCCAGGCATCCCTCTGGATACTATTCCTTTGTTGATTATATTTGTTGAAAGTATCTTCACCTAGTTTATAGCTTGTCTTTTGTTTTTCCATGGTGTCCCTTAATGATCAGAAATTTAAAAAACTTCACAGTGTCATGGGTGCCTGGGTGGCTCAGTCAGTTAAGCATCTGCCTTCCGCTCAGATCATGATCCCAGAGTCCTGGGATCCAGCCCTGCATAGGGCTCACTGCTTGACAGGGAGTCTGCTTCTGCCCCCTTCATGGCTTGCACTCTCACATGCATTCTCTCTCTCTCTCAAATAAAGTCTTAAAAAAATTTAAAGTGTCAAATTAGTCTTTTTAAAAATTTCGTGCTGTTTGTGCCACATTTAAGAAATCCATTACTGTCCAAAACATGATATTTTCCTCTATTCTTCTCTAAACTTTTAATGTTTAACTTTAAACTTTATTTATTTATTTATTTATTTATTTATTTACTTACTTACTTACTTACTTACTTACTTATTTTAAAGATTTTATTTTTAAGTAACCTCTACACCCAGGGTGGGGCTCAGAGTCATAACCCCCAGATCAAGAGTCGCCCACTGCCCACTCTACCAACTGAGCAGATGGAGCAGGCCTGAGAGCCCCTACTTTTAACATATATATCTTTAATTCATCAGAATTAGTTTTGTGATAGGGTGAGGTATAGATCCTGTTCATTTCTTTTCATATGGAAAACCAATTGCCCTCCTCTTGTTTACTGAATGGTTCATTCTTTTCCTGCTGATATGCAATGCTGGTACTGACACAAATTAAGTTTCCTTATGCTTGTGCACTCTCTATTCTTCCCTTTGCTCTATTCATTTTGGAACCAAAACCAAACAGTCTTAATTACTATGATTTTATGATTAATTGATTTTTTTTAATTGATGTTTTTTAGGGCAGCCCCTTCAATGTTGTTGTTCTTTTACAGAAGTGTCTTAACTATTTTTGTAATTCCTTTGTAATTCCATAAAAATTTTATAAAAAGCTCAGTGACATTCCAATTCTCTTTTTTTCCATGTTTATTTTTTATTTAAATCCAATTAACATATAATGTATTATTGGTTTCTGAAGTAGAGGTCAGTTATTCTTCAGTCTCATATAACACCCAGTGCTCATTATATCATGTGCCCTCCTCAACTCCCCACCACCCAGTTACCCCATCCCTCCACCCCCTCCCTTCCAGCACCCCTCTTAGTTTCCTATGATTAAGTCTGTTATGATCTGTCTCCCTCTCCAATTTTCTCTTGAGCCTTCCCCAATCTCACTTTCTTCCCATCATCTCACTGAATCTGCTGTTACCAAGGGCTTAGAAGCCCTTCTCATTGTCAAATCCACCAGTCAATCCTTGGTCTTCATCTCACTTGACCTCTTCATACATTAGACATAATACCTATTTACGTTCCTGGGTGAAATAAGCTCTTCTTTCAACTTCTCTAATATTACTCCTCTGTTTTTTTCTTCTCCTTCACTAGCTGCCTTTGTAGTCACCTTTTGCTGGATCCTCTTCCTCCTCCCTACTACTGCCAAACATTGGAAATCTGACCCCACCATTACCAGCCAACCCAGGGCTCAACCCTTAAATCTATTATTTTCTATCTATATTCATTCTGTAGGGTTATCTCATCTGGTCCCACAGCTTTAAAACAGCAACTTCTTCTTCTCCTTTTTTTTTTTTAAGATTTTATTTATTTATTTGACAGAGAGAGAGAGAGAGAGAGTGCACAAGCAAGGGGAGAAGCAGGCTTCTAGGCCAAGCAGAGAGCCTGACTCGGGGCTCCATCCCTGGACTCTGGGATCATGACCTGAGCAGAAGGCAGATGCCTAACAGACTGAGCCTCCCAGGCACCCCAAAACAGCAACTTCTGAATGTATGTCTTTAGTTCAACTCTTTCCCCTGAATCCTAAATTCATGTATATAAATGCCTACTTGTTATCTTTAGTTGAATGTCTGCTACATGTTGAATGTCCAATAGGTATCTCAATATTCAAAATGAATCTTTTCATTATTTCTCTAAACCTGCTCCTCTCTTAATGGTCCCTATCAGTAAATAGCTTTAGTTTTCTCATCGGTAAAATGGAGATTAAATAAAGATACCTGCTTCATAAAGATATTACAAGAATGAAGGAGGATGTATGCTAAGTGCTGAGCACAATGCCTAGTACAGAGTAAGCTGGTCAGTAAATATTTTTCATCCTTATTCAACAAATACTTATGGAGTACCTACTTATTTCCTGTTGTTTAAAGTACTGGAGATAAAAACAAATTGTTGCTGCTCTCATGGACCTTACATTTCTAACACATGTGATGAAAAAAGCCCTGGAGAAAAAAAACTAAGGGGAAGAGGGTAGAGAGCACTAAGGGAATGGGTACAATTTTAAAGAGGATGGTCAGACGGGTGCCTGGGTGGCTCAGTCGGTTAAGCATCTAACTTGGGCTCAGATCATGATCTCGGGGTCCTGGGATTGAGCCCTGTGTATGTGTGTGTGTGTGTGGGGGGGTGTCCCTGTTTAGTAGAAAGCCTGCTTCTCCCTCTTTCCCTGCTCCTCCCCCTTGCTCGTGCCTTCTCAAATAAATAAATAAAATCTTAAAAATAAAATAAAAAGGAAAGGCCTCACTGAGAAGGTGACATGTGTATGGACCTTCAGGAAAAAAAGAGCACGAGGCATGTTTGACGTCTTGGACATCTAGGGGAATGGCATTCCATAAATAGAACCCAGCAAGTGTAAAAGTCCTGAAATAGAAGGGGACCAGGACATCTAA